GTTATTGTTGCTTATATTGTTGTGTATATGGTATGGGGGGGTGTGTATATATTTATTTACATATATATATATATAAAGGAAAAACGAAAAAAATGCTTAAAACGTACATAAAATGTGTACATAAGCAAGAAAAGCGTGTATCGTTTTAGGAGAAACTTCCAATTGGTGCACATAAAATTATATATTAAGAGTTTTTAGTATAACGTTTTTTGCAGAAAAGGTGTATTAAATATGAATAAGAAACTAAAATGACCAGGGTCAAAAATGCCAATTTATATAATTGTATAAATGCTGTTGTGCAAGGCAAATTGCGATTATATAATTATATATTTTGAGGATACTGGAAGGTTGAGGGACCTGCGTTTATAATTGTATTAATTATATTTAACTCTATGATTTGAACAGAGTTCTATTATCTACTCAACTTGCAATAGGAATCAAAGCTATAAAGTAAGAAAAATATATCACTGTAGAAATTTGACCTATTAATATATAGGGGTCTTCAACTGGTTGAGATCCTATTCAAGTTAATAGTATGAAATTACCTATAAAAATTCAATAAAATAATTTTGAAAAAGGTCTAAAGGAGTTAGTTCTTTGTAAACCTATGTTCAAGAAAGGTAAAGCATATAACACTAAAATACTTGCTAACATAGCTACTACTCCCCCTAATTTATCGGGAATAGACCTTAAAATAGCATAAGCAAATAAAAAATACCATTCTGGTTGTATATGAACTGGTGTTACCAAAGGGTTTGCTTGTATATAGTTTTCTGTGTCGCCAAGTATGTTAGGTACAAAAAATATAAGTACTATTAATAATATTGTTAAAAGTAATATACCATAAATATCCTTGAATGAAAAGTATGAATGGAAAGGGATTTTATCTACATCTGATTTTACTCCTATAGGATTAGAAGATCCATGGGCATGTAATAAAATTAGATGGGCAGCGCCTAATCCTGCAAGCAGGAAAGGAAGCAAATAGTGTAGACTAAAAAATCTATTTAAAGTGGAATTAGATACACTAAATCCTCCCCATAATCATTGAACTATATCGTTACCTATGTAGGGGATTGCAGAAACTAGGTTTGTTATCACAGTAGCTCCCCAAAAGGACATTTGCCCTCATGGAAGTACATATCCTATAAATGCTGTTCCCATCATTAATAAATAGATGGTAACCCCTGAAAATCAAAGTTCCTTTTTCATAAAGCTACCGTAATAAAGGCCTCTTCCTATATGCATATACACACATAAGAAAAATAAAGATGCTCCATTGGCATGGGCATATTTTAAAATAAAACCGTAATTAACATCTCGCATAATATGTGCAACAGAAGAAAAAGCTATACTGGTATCAGCGCAATAGTGCATAGATAAAAATATTCCCGTTAGTATTTGTATAACTAAACATAACCCTAATAGAGAACCGAAGTTTCATAGGTAGCTTATGTTTGATGGGGAAGGTAAATCTACTAAAATGTCATTAATGATTGTTGCAAGAGGATTATACTTTCTTATTCTCATAATTTAGAAATAAGGGAGGCTTAGAGCTAAACCAATAGAAGTCGGAGATAAACCTAATACTATTGTTAGAAATAGAAGAATCAATGGTGAATGTAATTCTCTCCTATTTATATCTCTAATATAATAAGTGTGTTTCGAAGGTGTCCCAAAAGAAATTTTATTAAAAAAAACCAGACTATAAGCTGCAGATAAAACCATTCCTAATAATGGACATAGAATTGCTATTATGCTATATTGAAAGGCAGATAGTATAGATATGAATTCACCTATAAAGTTTAATGATATGGGAAATGCTATATTACCTAATATTAATAGGAAAAATAAAGTGGTAAATAGTGGCATTAAATAAACTACTCCTCTATAGTATCTAAATACCCTAGTGTGTAATCTTTCATATAAATTTGTAACTACAATAAATAGCCCTGAGCTTACAAAACCGTGAGCCACCATTAATATAATTGCTGCCACCACTCCTTCAGGTGTTTTAGAAAACAATGCTACTGTCACCAACCCCATATGGGCGACTGAAGAATATGCTACTAATTTTTTTGAGTCAGTTTGTCTACAGGTAGATAAACTTGCATACACTACTGCTAATGACCCTAATAAAATTATTAGAGGAGAGAAAAACTCTGAGGCTTGTGGTAATAAAGGTCAAGAAAACCGTATTAAACCGTAGCCTCCTAATTTTAATAATACTCCTGCTAACAAAACAGATCCTGCTACAGGGGCTTCAACATGAGCTTGGGGTAGTCAAATATGTACGGGTAATTTTGGTACTTTAACAGCCAAACTTAAAAAAAAGCTGGCAAATATTCAATATTGGATATTAACAGGAATATTCGACAAAATTAGAGTTTGATAATCTAAGGTTCCAAAATATTTATAAAGAGTGAAAATACCAAGTAACATAAATAAAGAACCAACTAAAGTGAAAAAGAAAAAATAGAAAGCAGCTCTTTCTTTTTCCTTCCTAGATCCCCATATTCCTATAATAAGAAACATAGGTATAAGTATACCTTCAAAAGATATATAAAATAATAGTATATTTAAGGAAGCAAAAACCCCTATTAATAGTAAGTGAATTACTAGTAATAGAAGTATGAATTCTTTAACCAAAAATTTAATAGAGGTTCAACTTATCAATATACATATAGGTGTTAATAGGCCGGTTAGTAATATAAAAGGCAAAGAAATTTGATCAATAGCAAAATGTAGAGGCCCCCATTGGACTGAATTAGACAGCAGGGTTGTTCAGAACTTAGAAGTATTGAAATGGAAAAGTGTATCATAAGTATAAAAAGACCATAGTGCTATAGATAACCACAAAACAACAAAGGAAGATAAAAGTCCAATATTTTTAATAAGTTTTGTAGATTGAGGGTTAATTAGCAGTATAGTAACTATTGCGATTATTAAAGTTATTGCAATTAACACTATCATTATAGATTAGGTAAACCATTAAGGCATCACAATAGGCTAGCAGTGGTTATTAAGAAACCTAGGCTTAAAGGTAAATAAGATTTTCATAATAACATCATTAATTGATCATATCTAATTCTAGGGAAGGAAGCTCTTATCCAAATAAAAAACATGGCAACAAAAGCTGTTTTAATTCCTAATCAAATCACTGAGCTAATTATAGGGCCATCCCACCCTCCTAAAAACATTAATGAAAATAAAGCAGACATAAATATTATATTTGCATACTCTGCAAGAAATAAAAGAGCAAAAGACATTGAAGAGTACTCTACATTGTAACCAGAAACTAGTTCAGATTCTCCTTCGGTCAAATCAAAGGGTGCTCTATTTGTTTCAGCAACCAAAGAAACTAAAAACATTATTGCTGCTGGTAATAAAGGTAGTAACAAAAAAGTTGAATTAATTTGAAATCAAGAGATTGTAGACAAATTTAAAGAACCTACACATAAAATAACGGATATTACTATTAAGCCCATTGATACCTCATAACTTATCATTTGAGCGGCTGCTCTTAAGGCACCTAAATAAGCATATTTAGATGTACTAGATCAGCCAGACATTAATACCGCATAAACACTAACAGATGAGACTGCTAATATGAATAGTAACCCTAATTCTATTTCACTAAAAGAAGCATTAGTAGAATAAGGTAAAACTCCCCATAAAACCAAAGCCAAAGTAAGGAAAAGAATGGGAGAAATAAAATAAATAACTATATTAGAATGGTTAGGAATAGTCATTTCTTTAGTAAATAATTTTACTCCATCAGCCAAAGGTTGTAGTAAACCATATATTCCAACTATATTAGGGCCTTTTCTTGCTTGCATATAACCCAAAACTTTCCTTTCTGCGAGAGTTAGGTAGGCGACTGATATTAACACAGGAACTATTATTAATAGTATTTTTGTAAGATTGAATATAAGTTCTTTCATTATCCTTTTAGAGTATTAAGTAGTTTTATGGATATTTTTCCTCTTAACCTAAAATAAGAAACTATTATTGCTAAACCTATAGCTGATTCTGCTGCGGCAACTGTGAATATAAATAAAGTGAATATTTGACCATTCAACAGGTTATGAAAAGAAGAACCTATTACAAATAAAATAGAAGTAGATAATAACATTAATTCAATAGACATTAACAATAAAATTAAGTTTGATCTATTTATAGATATGCCCAGCACACCTAATAAAAATAAAGTAAATGAACAGATGCTAAGTAATTTTATTCCCATTCTAAGCCTCCTTGAATTCATTCATATATTAAACCTCAAGTAAGAATTAATAAAAAACTAAATATTATTCAAACTCCCCAAAGAGATGTGGCGTAAGAAGTAATAGATCAGGGGAACAAGAGAGATATTTCTAAATCAAAAACTAGAAATAGTATCCCTATTAAGAAGAACCTTACAGAAATTGGGTTTCCTGGGTTATCATAAGGGGTAAAACCACACTCATAAACTGAAACTTTTTCTTTATCAGGTGAAGTTTCTCCTAATAAATAAGAAGCTAAGGCTATAACGGTAGATAATCCTAAGCTTATGGTTATAATAATTAATATTTTACTAAAAGTTATGGTTATCACGTACTATTTGAATAAAATTATTTTGTTTTTTAGAGTGGTAAGAAGGGTTTAAAGTTAATAAAATTGCTCCAACCATTGCTACTAAAAGAATTATGCTTGCAATGATTAAGTACTCTCCAAATTGGTTATACAATTGAGAACCTATTGATTGCATTGTGGAGAATTCCTTTAAAGAGAATATTTCTTGGTAAGAAGTGTCCATATTAGTAAAATTATTAGAAATAATAATTGTAATAATTCCTAAAGCACTTACTACACTAATAGGAAGAATAGAAGAAATTTCATTTTCTAAATCATAAGCTGATAAATTAAGCATCATCAAAACAAATATGAATAAAATAGCAATTGCTCCTACATAAATAATTAGTGTTGCTAAAGCTATAAAATCTGCCTCTAATTGAACGAATAGTAAAGCTGAGTTCACAAACGCTAACACTAATCAAATTATTGAATGAACTGGGTGTATGGCAGTTATTACCATCATACCTGATATAATGGTTAAAGTTATAAAAATAGGGGAAATCATCTAAAATATAAATTCAAGGAAAAGTTCCCTTTCCCTCACTATGTTACGACTTGCTTTTATTTCTATTAATTAATATTAGTTATAAAAGGTGACGGGCAATTTGTGCTAACATTTGAACCTATTCACCAAAGCCTTATGGTCTTTGATTACTGTTAAATTCTACTTCATAAAATTTTCAAATTTAATTGGCTTCAAATTTTTATTTTTATTTGAAAATGTATTGCATCTTCCCCCTTATTATTAGGGTCATAATACCTGACTTCAGCTATAAAGGTTGGGTCTGTTATATAATATATACAAACTGAAGACGGCCATGCAACACCTGAAAAATCAAAATAAGGTAAGGTTTTTTGCGGATTATCAAATTAAGTGACACAATCCTCTAATTGGAAAATGAACAGCCAAACTTTTTGAATTTAGATCAGTTGATTATAATACTCAGGCGAAATTACGCTTTTTATAAGCTATTCTATATTTAGGTAGTAGGTTACTGGGGTATCTAATCCCATTGGCTTTCTACTATTTAATGTTTCCAAAAATGAAAAGGTTTATGTGAAATTCTAAATTATCTTGTTGAATTTAATCTCTAAATATTAATTCTTCCTTTTTCGTTTACTTTTTTTACACATTCTTTAAGCCTTTTTTATTTATAAAACTAGAACCTCAGGTGTAACCGCGTCTGCTGGCACTTGATTAGACAGTTCTAAATACCTTTCTGTATCTAACATAAGTTAATTGTACAATATTCTATACTGCTGCAAATCATTTTTCCTTGTTTCAGTAAAAATGTGGAATAATCTTACCGTCATAGGAATTGATCAATTAATTGATCCATATTCCTGGTAGCTATCTGTTAGGCAGATTTACTCACCTGTGCGCATTTTACTAGCATGTATTAAAAAGGTATAAGCATTTAAAAACCCCCAAAGTCAAAGGGTTTAATTGAAAATAATAAACAGAGAACAAAACAATAATATCAACATTGCATAATTAAATAAATACCCTGATTGAACCAAAGAAATGTTTTTTGATAACTTTATAAATGTTTTTGAAGAACCCCAAGGTCCTAATTTCTCTAAAATCCCTGCATCAAATGTTTTAAAAGTAACATTGTACCCAAATTTTCAAATAGGAATAACTACTATATGTGAAACTATTTTATCAAAATCCCATGCACTTGATAAAAATTGATAGATTTTTTTGAGGTTAGAGTTTAAGAAGACTGTTCAAAACTTTTTAGTGATTTGATAAAGACTTATACCCATAACAATACCTGTAACAGATAGAATTAAAGGTAACAGTTTGTTTATTACAAATAATGTTGGATGAATAATATTATTAACAGTGGAATAATACAATATAAACCCAGAAAAAATACTTCCTATAGAAAGAATTATTAAAGGAATTAATAGAAACCAATCATTTTCATGAGAAAATTTTCAGTATATCTTAGGGGAGTTTTGGAAAGATAAAAAACTTCTAGTAATAAGTTTAAACGAGTAAAAAGCTGTAAGTAAAGTAGCCGTTAGTCCCATTCATGCTCCAAATATTATATAATATTCTTTCGATGTTATTTCTAGAAGTAAATCTTTAGAATAATATCCAGATAGGAAAGGAAATCCTGCTAAAGATAAAGACCCAATAAGTATAAATACATAAGATAAGGGTTGAACAATATTTATACCACCCATTTTTCTTATATCCTGTTCATCTAAAAATGAATGTATAACCGATCCTGCAGCTAAGAATAATAAAGCTTTAAAAAAGGCATGATTTATTAAATGAAACAAAGCTAATGAGTAATAGGAAATACCGCAAGATAAAACCATAAAACCCAATTGGCTACAAGTAGAATATGCTATAATTTTTTTTATGTCATTTTGAGCTAAACCTATTGAAGCAGCAAATAAAGCTGTCAACGAGCCAACAATTACTGTTAATATTAAAGCCAAAGGAGAAGATTCAAATAAAGGGGAAGACCTAATTATCAAATAGACACCCGCAGTTACCATGGTTGCTGCATGAATTAGTGCTGAAACTGGAGTAGGTCCTTCCATAGCATCTGGTAACCACATATGTAATCCTATTTGAGCTGATTTTCCTATAGCTCCAACTAATAATAAGCAAGGTATAATATTAAAATATTTAAATTCTTGTGTTGGTAATACAGACAAAAAATTTACAGACCCAAAGTAAGTCCATATAAAAATTATTCCCAGTATTAAGGCTGCATCACCAACCCTATTTACTAACATAGCTTTAATAGCTGCCTTATTTGCTTGAATTCTACTATACCAGAAATTTACTAAAAGGTAAGAACACAAGCCCACCCCTTCTCATCCTATAAACAATTGAATATAGTTTTGTGAAGACACTAAAATAAGCATAAAAAAAGTGAAAAGAGACAAATACCCCATAAATCTAGGCGTATGAGGATCCCCTTTCATGTAGGACGTAGAATATAAATGCACTAAAAAGGAAACTGAATTAACAATCATAATCATACCACTTGATATAGAGTCTATGAAGAACGAAATATTAGAGTTAAGTAAAATAAAATTAAACCAAGGTCAGTAAACCACTAGTAAGGAACAACTGTGAAGAACTATATCATAATATAATACGAAAGACAGACCAACACATAATCCCATAGTCACACAAGAAAATATGTTTGATCCTACAGTTCCTAGTTTCCTACCATATAATAATAATGTTAAAGAGCTGATTAAAGGAAGTAAAAGTATGAGACTGTACATTTTAAAATATACTTAATACACCGAAATGTAGAGTTTCCTGAAGGATGTGAGGGGACAATAGAAAAAATAACACAAAATAGACTATTATGCCTGTGGTCACTCCATAAAAATCTGAACCAAAAGACTTTTTTAATAATACTTTTCTTCATACTAAAAATAACTTATCATGTTGAAAATAACTAATTTTTACTAATCTAAGATAATATACTCCAGCTACCATTGCGCAAATAATGGAAAGTATACTTGTTATTAAAAACTCATTGTTGATTGCAGTGGATATAATAAATCATTTAGCTAAGAAACCCCCTAAAGGAGGAATTCCAGCTAAGGAAAGAACTAAAAGACTAAATGAACCTAATAAAACAACATTAGAACCAAGGAAATTTGATAATTCTACTATTGTAGATTTTTCTTCTATAGTTTTATCAGCTATTATTATAATGCCTGCAAAAGTTAACAAATAGATTAGTAAATAAAGTATTCCAGCTTCTAATCCTTCAAAAGTATATACGCTCACTCCCATTAAAATAAAACCCATTCCCACAATACTACTATAGGCCATTAATCTTTTAAGTTTGGTTTGATTTATTGCACCTACACAACCTATAATTAAGGATAAAATAGTTGCTAGCAACAATAGTTTGCTGTTGGGAATTAGTAATAATAACACTCCTAAAATACTTATTTTAGGTAATGTTCCTAAAACTAAAAGAGCCTTATTATCAGATCCTTGATAAACATCTGGGGACCAAAAATGAAAGGGGCTTGCAGCCAATTTAAATAATAAAGATACAAGTATCAGAGACTTTTCTATAAAATATGCGTCCAAGGAAAGAACTGTAATGTCATATGTACCTGCATTAAGAAAAACAAGAGAAGAACCTAATAAGAATAACCCAGAAGATATTGAACTCAAAATAAAATATTTTAAGGAAGCTTCTATTCTGGATACTATTTCTCTTTTCCTAGCTATTAATATAAAAACAGATAGACTTTGAAGTTCCAAAGTCAAATATAAGCACAACAAATTAGAGCAAGAAACAATAACCATTGAGGCCAATGTAATACATAAAATTAATACATTTGAATTATCCAATCATTTAGAATTATTTATGTTTACGAAAATTACTCCTAAGAAATAACAAAGTATCTTTATTAGTGCTTCAAAAGTTGTAATATCTATTAATCCATAAGTTGGATTTAAAATTAATATCGAAAAACAAAAGAAGCTGATAATATTTAATACTCTAACAGGAATTTTTATCACTAATGATGTTACTAAAAATAATAGTAATAATATCTCATAAAAAGTATAAGTCATTTATTGCAAGAGTAGGATTTGAACCTACTTATTCAGATCATGAGTCTGACAACTTTCCTTTAGTTTATCTTGCTTAAAGGATTAAGATCCTCATCAATAAATACAAACATACAAGAATAATCATACAACATCTACGAAATGTCAATACCAACTTGCTGCTTCAAAACCAAAATGATGGTGTCTAGTATATTGGTGAAAAACTAATCTTAATAAACAAACTAATAAGAAAGTTGTTCCTACTAAAACATGAAACCCATGAAATCCTGTAGCCATGAAAAAAGTAGATCCATAAACAGAATCAGAAATTGCAAAAGGGGCCTCATAATATTCCATACCTTGAAGACCTGTGAAAATTACCCCCAGTACGACGGTAAATATTAAACCTACAATAGCTTGTTCTCTTTTACCGTTAACTATTGCATGATGTGCTCATGTAACAGTAGCTCCTGAACTTAAAAGAATAGCTGTATTCAACAAAGGAACGGAAAAAGGATTTAAAATTTGAATACCTATTGGAGGCCATAATGCTCCTAATTCTATAGCTGGAGCCAAACTACTATGAAAAAAAGCTCAAAAAAAAGAAACAAAAAAACAAACTTCAGAAATTATAAACAAAAGCATTCCTATTTTTAAACCCCTTTTTACAATTTCAGTGTGATGTCCTTGAAAAGTTGCTTCTCTTATTACATCTCTGCATCACACTATGAAGGTAATAGTAAATATACTAAACCCTAATAACATTATTCATATAAAACTATAATGAAAATAAATAACACTTCCTAAAGTTAAAAAGAAAGCTCCACAAGAACAGACATAAGGCCAAGGGCTTGGATCGACTAAATGATAAGGGTGAAATGTATTTGACATTTAATGCGATTTTAAAGTATCTTCTAAATAAATAGTTGTTAACAAACAAAAAACATAAGCTTGAATTAAAGCTACGGCTATTTCCAAAACTGTTATGAAGACCATAATAGCTAAAGGAAACAAGCTTAAGAATAATAAATCACCTACAATCATCTGATACCCAAAACTAGCTAGTATTGCAAATAATAAATGACCTGCCGATAAGTTTGCAGCTAACCTTACACCTAAGGATATTGCTCTAGATAAATAACTTGCAGTCTCTATCAAAACTAATAAAGGAGCTAGACCCATAGGGGCCCCCTGAGGCATTAACATACTAAAAAAGTTTAATTTAAAGTTTTTAATACCTAATATAGTTACTACTAACAAAATAGAAAAAGATAACCCAAAAGTAATTATAATATGGGTCCCTACAGTAAAAATGTAAGGAAAAAGTCCTAATACATTTAATCAAGCAATTAACATAAAAAGAGAAACTACAAAAGGAAAATATTTAGACCCTTTTTCACCTAAACTATCTTTTATTAAAGTTATTCAATGATCATATAACAATTCAATTACCAATTGTCATCTACCAGGTATTAATTTATTAACCTTAAAAAATAAAACTATGAAGAAAATGGCTAATAGCAACATAAGTGAACTATTAGTAAAACCAGGTATAATACTGACTACAGTAAATTGGTCAAAATAACTAGCCATATATTAATAATTAAGTAATTTTTTAAATGTACTATACTCCCTTTTTTTCTTAAAACTTACTACCTCGTCACCTGTAATGTGTCTAATTTCGTTTAATTTTTTGATCGAAGGTAAAATAGTTATAATAGATATTATTATAATACTAGAAACGGATCCTATAACTCAAACATATTGATTTATAAATGTTACAACATCTAATTGAGGCATATAAATCAGAGGGTGTTGGACTTGAACCAGCATTAATAGCTTTGAAGGCAATTAGTTTTCATTAACTTAACCCTCCTGGATTATTCTTCCGAAATTTTAGTTTCGATTCAATCTATAAAACCATTTAAAGAAACACCTCTTACTGCGATTGGCATAAAGCTATGATTACTTCCGCAAATTTCGGAACATTGGCCATAAAACAATCCTGATCTCTTTATGAAAACATTAGTTTGATTTAATCTCCCGGGAACAGCATCTAATTTAACCCCTAAAGAAGGTAAAGCAAAAGAGTGAATTACATCTGCTCCAGTAACCAAAATTCTCACGTGTGTTTGAATAGGTAAAACTAATTGGTTATCTACTTCTAATAACCTATTATCTCCCTCTTCTATGTCTGAGGTAGGAATCATGTAGGAATCGTACTCTAAATCACTAACATCATAATCTGAATATTCATAACTTCAATATCATTGATGACCTACTGCTTTAATAGTTAAAGTAGGTTCCATAGTTTCATCCATCAAGTATAGTAATTTTAAAGAAGGGAAAGCAATAAAAACCAATATTATTGCGGGAATTATTGTTCAAACTATCTCTATTAAAGTTCCTTCTACTAAAAATTTATATTTATATTTACTTAGAACTGACCTCAATATTAACCAGAATATTAAAACAGATATCACGGGAGCAATGAACATTACTTGATCATGTAAAAAAGTAACTTCTTCCATAATAGGACTTGCACTATCTTGGAAAGATAGTTGTCAATCTAAAGGAACATCTTTGTTTAATGAAATATTTAATATGTATTTGCTTATAGTTATAATCATTATCTCTATTATATCTAGAGAGATGAAATAGTCAAAGCTTGTAATAAAAACTTTATTCGGATATAATAGAGATGAACATGTATTTATCAAGATGATTATTTTCAACTAACCACAAAGATATAGGTACCCTATATCTCATCTTCGGTGCATTTTCTGCTATGATAGGAACTGCTTTCAGTATGATTATTAGATTAGAACTATCAGGTCCAGGAACAATGTTAGGAGATGACCAACTTTACAATGTTGTAGTCACAGCTCATGCTTTGATAATGATTTTCTTTTTCGTTATGCCTGTTTTAATTGGGGGTTTTGGGAATTGATTAGTTCCTTTATATATAGGAGCTCCCGATATGGCTTTCCCTAGATTGAATAATATTAGTTTTTGACTTTTACCTCCCGCTTTACTTTTACTATTGGGCTCATCTTTAGTAGAACAAGGAGCCGGAACTGGTTGAACCATTTATCCACCTTTAAGCTCGATTCAAGCCCATTCAGGAGGATCTGTAGACATGGCTATATTTAGTCTTCACTTAGCAGGAGCTTCCTCAATAATGGGGGCTATAAATTTTATTACTACCATTTTGAATATGAGGGCACCTGGAATGACAATGGATAAAATTCCTTTATTCGTATGATCCGTTCTAGTAACAGCAATTTTACTTTTATTATCTTTGCCTGTATTAGCCGGAGCAATCACTATGTTACTGACAGATAGGAATTTCAATACTTCTTTCTTTGACCCTGCTGGAGGAGGAGACCCTATACTATTTCAACATTTATTTTGATTTTTTGGACATCCTGAAGTATATATTTTAATATTACCTGGGTTCGGGATAGTATCACAAATCATACCAACTTTTTCATCTAAGAAACAAATATTTGGTTACCTAGGAATGGTTTATGCTATGATAGCCATAGGTATTTTAGGCTTTATAGTTTGGGCTCATCATATGTTTACTGTTGGTATGGATGTTGATACCAGAGCTTACTTTACAGCAGCAACTATGATAATAGCTGTACCTACGGGAATAAAGATATTTAGTTGACTCGCAACCTTATACGGAGGAACAGTTAGACTTGAGACACCAATGTTGTGGGCAATAGGTTTTGTTTTCTTATTTACATTAGGTGGGTTAACTGGAGTGATCTTGGCAAATGGTTCCTTAGACATTGCTTTACATGACACTTACTATGTTGTTGCCCATTTTCATTATGTATTATCCCTTGGTGCAGTTTTTGCTATTTTTGGGGGATTTTATTATTGATTTGGGAAAATAACAGGTTATTGTTATAATGAAGTCTATGGTAAAATTCATTTTTGACTTATGTTTATTGGGGTTAATACTACTTTTTTCCCACAACATTTCTTAGGGTTAGCAGGAATGCCTAGAAGATATTCTGACTTCCCTGATAGTTTTATAGGTTGAAATATAGTAAGTTCTCTAGGTTCAGCTATTTCTATAATAGCAGTTCTATGGTTTGTATATATAATATATGATGCTTACTACAGAGAAATAAAATTTGTAGGATGAGCTAACAATAGTGGGTATTCACCTTCCTTAGAATGAATACAAAACTCTCCTCCTACACATCACACTTATGATGAACTACCTTTTGTT